AAGCCAAAATCTGCTTATGAACAACTTTCATATGGCTAAATGGTGTAACTGTATAGGACTTTGCTACACTGTTTAAAGATGAAGAATAAATATATAAGATTGAATATTAATGGGGCAAATACCCCATCCAACTGGAAAAAAGATTTCACTATCTGAGGAAACTAAATGTCAATCACTTTGTTAGACATGGCATTCTAAGGGTTTGGAACAAATATAAAATAATATAATAAAATATAAAACAAATATAGTTATCTCATTTTTAAAGGGTCCTCAATATATGAAGGGGATATAACTCTAGAAAATATGCATTCAAGAAAATATTGAGTTTGACCTTGTATTTTACTTAGTCTGGCAATGTTTTCAACTCATCCTTGTTTGACAGTCAGACTGAAAAGGCCCTAAATAAAGGTATATGCAGTGGTGGGATTCAGCCAGTTTACACCAGTTTGGCAGAACTGGTAGCTAATTTTTTGTTGCCCAGGCCCAAAATGGACTTCTGGAAGCGGCACTATGTGTCATGTGATATATGATGTTTTTAAATATGGTTAAGTATGAAACAAGTAAATCATAGCTATTATAGATTAATCTCTAGGAAAATATGCTTAATACAAAGAAATCGGACAATATTCTCTGCTCATATGCTTTTAATGGCAGCTTTACTAACATACAATTGATGAATCAGGGCTTGCCACTGAGATAAAGATTTGGAGAAAAATCTTTTAAAAATTCCTTTAAATATAATTTTGTCTTTGAAAGCATAAGATGAAGCAGGAAAGTGGGGCATACTATTTAGCATAAGTATATGCATCTACACTCATGGGAAGAGGTTTTAGGGAAATCTGGTATGACTCTGGTAAGCAAAAATAATACGAGCAAGTAACATCGTTCTCTATTTTTATAGTTCATAACATTAAATAAGCATAAAATTGGTTCTTTCTTTTTTGTGAAACTGAGGAAAAAAAACTTGTCTAAAGCTAAATTTAATAATGCCTACGGCATCACATTTTCTATTTTTCAAACAAATAGATTCTATTCACAAGTTACCGCTCCCTATCTTCGTCCGAAAAGCTGCTATTTGACAGACTAAGTAAAAACAAAGCCTAAAAATTGCGAACTGCTATTGGCTGCCTTACTGACGTTATCAATTTTTTTTTGACGCAACACTCTTGCCCCTTCATTGGTCGTGGAGTTGCGGGGCGGAGTCTCTCTGCTTGCAAGGTCGACGCAACAACCAGGTGTCCAGTCCTAAGGAAGGATAGAACGACTCCGCCTCCCACCCAGAGATAAGGTCACGTGCCCCAGTGTTTACATCCTCTCAGCTGTTTGGCTTCTCCCCCCCTCCCCTCTTCTTCCTGGCGTAGTTCAGGCCAACGCAAACAGTCAGGATCATCGGCCGCGGCCGGCGGGACGAGGCTGACGGCGAGGAGAATCTTCTTCCCCCTCCCCTCCCTCCACAACACACAGACATATACGCATTCAGTGGGCAACGTTTTCTCTGACTCGGAGTCCGAGGCGTCCCTTTCTTTCTTAAACTGGTTAGTTCAGCCCTGACAGCTTCTCAAAGCTTCAGTCCTCTTCGGGACGCAGAGGGCGTGTGGAAGGTGAGTCGGATGGGGGGCGGGGAGGGGGCACTTTGTCAGAAAGAGGGGCAGCAATGGGTGCGTGAGGCGCGAGGCGGCCTTGAGGGCTCCAAATGACCTGGCTGGCGAGGTTAGCTCTCTGAAGGCCGTTGAAAGTTCCGGGGAACCAACTGCCCCTGGCGCTTCCCTCCCCCTTTTCCTCGTTGGTCCTTCCTCTCCCCCCTCCCGGGACTCTGGGAAAGTGTACAGAGGGCGGGGGAGGAAAGAGCGTCTGCTGTTCCTCACGGGAGGCACTTCGAGCCCCTCCCCCCCCGTATCTGTGAGCCTCTTAGTCGTTGAGCATTTAAAAGGGCAAGGACTCGGGCTGAGGGCAGAAGGCGACGGTTGTTCTGCTGCCCCGCTCCCCGCCGTCTCCAGCTGTTAACGAGGCGGCCCCTTTTGCTCCGAGCGTTTGCACCGTTCCTGGGACTATAAAAGGATAAACAGGTTGGAGGCGCCGCCGCCTGCTGCTTCCTTGCCCTGCTTTTGGCCGCCAGTTGGCTTTGTGTAGAGGTGCCAAAGAGGAAGAGATCGAATGAATCACCCAACAACAAAGAAGCGGAGAGCACCCGAGTTTGCCCCGCACGAGAGGAAAAGAAATTCGTTTCTCGCTCCTACACACACACACACACACACACACACACACCCGCGCCTGCCACAGTTTTTCGCAAGGCACTCAAGTTCGCGCATAACTTTAATGTCGCCGGCAGGCTGTCCAAGATAGCACATGCCACGGCTTAGGTAGAACGGCTAAGTTCTTCGCAGCCCGCGAGCACATCTGCTTTCCTTCTGTTTATAGGAAGACACTATATTGAACGAGGGAAAGACGATCGGATTCGGGGAGAGAGAGAGAGCCTCTTAGTGTTGGACTGAAGGAGAGAAGGCAAAGTTTGTAGGCAAACTTAAAGCTGCTGGGGTCCAGAGCCTTGCTGAAATTGAGGGCCTATTTGCTATTTAATAGTGATCATCATCATCATCATCCTTTACATGGATGATCTGAAGCTGTATGGAAAAACATCATCTGAAATAGAATCGCTGCTCAACATTGTCCGTATATATAGCCAAGATATTGTAATGGAGTTTGCCTTGGACAAATGTGCCACACTATCAAACAAGGAAAAATAGTGAAAACTGAACGAATCAAGATGCCCCACGAAAATAACATTAAGAGTCTGGATGAGGAAGAGTACTACAAATGCTTCGGTATCCTTCAAGTTGACAACATCAAGCACACTGAAGTCAAGAAAAAGATTAGAGGTGAATACATCAAGAGAGTGAAGAAGATCTTAAAGTCCAAACTCAATGGAGGAAATACTATAAAGGCAATCAACACCTGGCAATTCCAGTCATTAGGTACACAGCTGGAATAGTGGACTGGACTCAAGCAGAACTAAAAGCAATGGATAGGCAGACCAGAAAAATAATGACAATGAATCATGCCCTTCATCCACGCAGTGACATTGACAGACTTTATCTACCAAGGCAAATAAGTGGGCGTGGAATGCTACAAGTACATCAGATGGTTGAAGAAGAAAAAATGGCTTTGGAAGAATATCTGAAGAACAATGATGAAGATGCACTGAAATTAGTATATCAGGAAGGCTTACTAACTACTGGAGAGACCAAACTGGCCTACAATAAAGACCAAATGAAGAACAGAATAGAGGCATGGGAAGACAAAGCACTACATGGCCAATACGTGAAAAAAATAGCTGGGAAAGCAGATAATAATAAAACCTGGCAATGGCTAAGAGCAGGAAAATTGAAGAAAGAGACCGAGGGACTAATTCTGCTGCACAAGACCAAGCCTTAAGGACAAATGCATATAAAGTCAAAATTGAGAAGACAGCAACAGACAGTAAGTGCCGCCTATGCAAAGAAGCTGAAGAAACAGTGGACCACTTGGTAAGCTGTTGCAAGAAGATTGCACAGACTGATTACAAGCAGCGGCATGACAAAGTAGCACCAATGGTGCATTGGAAGATCTGCACAAAATATCATTTGCCTGTAAGCAAAAACTGGTGGGATCATAAAATAGAGAAAGTCATAGAAAATGATAAAATTAAACTGCTCTGGGACTTCAGAATTCAAACAGACAAGCACCTGCAACATAACACCCCAGACTTAACAATTCTCGATAAGAAAGACAAAAAAGTCTGGTTAGTGACGTGGCAGTGCCTGGAGACAGCAGGATAGACGAGAAAGAACTGGAGAAGATAACAAAATACAAAGACCTACAAATAGAAATAGAAAGGTTGTGGCAAAAGCAAGCAAGGGTAGTACCAATAGTAATAGGCTCCTTGGGTACAATCCCAAAACAACTGGAGCACCACTTGAACACCATTAGCATTGACAAATTCGCTATTAGTCAATTGCAAAAGGCGGCCTTATTAGGAACTGCTTCCATCCTGCGACGATATTTGTAATACCATCAAACATCCATATCTGCCTATCCCAGGTCCTGGATAAGGACTCGATAGGTAGACAAAATGCCAAATCCAGTCTGAACATCTGGCTGACTGTGCGATGATCCATAATAATCATAATCATAATCACAGAAATAATAAAGTTGGAAATGACCTTGGAGATCATCTAGTCCAACCCCCTGCTCAGGCAGGAAACCCTATACCATTTCGGACAATGGTTGTCTAGTCTCTTAAAAAATTCCAGTGTTGGAGCATTCACCGCTTCTGGAGGCAGGTTGTTCCACTGGTTAATTATTCTAACTGTCAGGAAGTTTCTCCTTAGTTCTAGATTGCTTCTCTCCTTGATTAATTTCCATCTGGTGCTTTTTGTCCTGCCTTCAGGCGCCTTGGAAAATAGCTTGACTCCCTCTTCTTTGTGGCAGCCCTTGAGATATTGGAACACTGCTATCATGTCCCCCCTCATCCTTCTCTTCATTAAACTAGATATGCCCAATTCCAGCAGCCATTCCTTATATGTTTTAGCCTCCGGTCCCCTAATCTTTGTTGCTCTTCTCTGTACTCTTTCTAGAGTCTCAACATCTTTTTTACATCGCGGTGACCAAAACTGGATGCAGTATTCCAAGTGTGGCCTTACCAAGGTATTGTAAAGTGGTATTAACACTTCACGTGATCTTGATTCTATCCCTCTGTTAATGCAGCCTAGCACTGTGTTGGCTTTTTTGGCAGCTGCAGCACTCATATCTAAGTGATTGTCCACTAGGACTCCCAGATCCCTCTCACAGTTACTACTATTGAGTAAGGCACCCCCTATACTATACCTGTGCATTTGGTTTTTCTTGCCTAAATGTAGAACCTTGGTTTTTTCACCATTGAATTTCATTTTGTTAGATAGTGCCCAGTGTTCAAGTCTGTCCAGATCCTTCTGTATCTTAAGCCTGTCTTCTGGAGTGTTGGATATTCCTGCCAGCTTGGTGTCGTCTGCTAATTTGATGAGTTCCCCATCTATCCCATCGTCTAAATTGTTGATGAAAATGTTGACGAGCACTGGGCCCAGTGCTCTTTCTCTCCCCCGCCCCCACTACTTTTGAAATGTGTTTAGCTTCTGGGTGCTGAATTAAGTGCACAGGAATCTGTTACTATATTGGTTTGTGCCAGAATAAGAAGTTGATTTTCATTTGCCCCATTTCTTCACTGCATAAGCAAAAGAAAGATCATTAAGGGAGAAAAGGGAAAGACTAAGAAGTCAATCCGGTGTCCCCTTCTGAGATTTTTAGGCTACTAAATAATATCATTTAGTGCTTCATCCTGTATAAAAGCTGTAAGTGTGACATAGGATGAGATTCTGGTGGTTTTGAATGTTTGATAGACATGCACATTTTGCCATCAAGCGAATAAAATCCTTAGCATATTTCTCTACTTCATTCAACAAGTTTTTAAAAACCATCCAAAGTTTTTTTTTTTTAAAAAAATACATCAAATGGTAAAAGTGGAGCATCTTCTATTGAAGTTAGCTGATTTAATGACAAAACAAAAATCCAGTATCACATCAGTGAATGATTGAAAAATGAAGTCCATTTTGCAATGACCCAAATAACTTGACTGCCTCCTACCATGACTATTTGTAATTAAAATGTTAATGAAAAAGTAACATTGCAACCAGTCCTCACATTTATGACCTTCATAGATCTGTAAAACAAAGTAACCCTGAAGTAAGATCATAAGCACAGTTGTGGTTTTACTAAGTGATCACTTGACAACCAATTTGCCAGTTCCAGTTGTGGTTGCCAAACAAGGACTACCTGTATAGGATTTCTGACAATTTGGGATTGCCCTGATTATATTATTATATTCCTTATAAATAACAATATAAATAATAAATCTTTACCGACCTATGTAAAGGAATAAACTATTTTTAATCAGGAGTCAACAGCTGCTAATACGTAATATAATAAAAATAAATATATTTTATATGTTAATGAAATTCTGTGTTGACGTGCTCGAGCTTTAATGTATTTGCTTGACCCCAGCAGAACAAGCAAAATGGTACAAAAACACAAAATTACAGAAAAACTCATGACTCCCCATACCCATTTCTAGAAAAACTATTGGGGTGGAATAATTATATTTTTAATTCAAATAAGTTAATATTTTAGAACATTATTTGAATATATTATCCAATTTACATCATTGAAACTTTCTGACATCTAGAAAATAAAGTATACTACTATGTAGATAATTCCTGATGTTTGAAAAGATATAAAACATGTAGAATGCTGAAAGCTAAAAATATCTGCTACAATAGAAGAGTTTTACAATTCTAGTCCACTTTATTTTCCCCATTGAATTTGTTTTTCATATTCTACATCTTCTGTGCCATATACATTCATTTTGCTCACTTTATGTCCTAAAGCAAATTCAAAGGTTACTTCAACTTGTACAACATCCTCAGTTCCTGATGACTATGAAGTGCAATGAAAGTTGCAACTTAAAAGCTCAGTTTTATGAAAAAAATCCCGCCTAATTAAGCATATGTTTCCTAAAATGCCAAAATATCCTTCAGCATAATTAAATATTTTTTTTCATATAATCCACAGATAGTATGGTGATATATAGTGCCTCTGATATAAATAATACTTTACCATGCAGATAATTTTCAACATATGATCGGGACCCAAAAAAAAAAAGGTACTTGCAACCTGGATTTGAAATTTTGACAGCAGGGCCCACTCTACATACACAGGATCACATTTTGGGCACTTGGTAACCAGCCTGCATTTATGGCCATTTGCAGAATCTCACAGTTATATGATCACAATCTACTACATTTTTTGCTGGAAACCAAAGTGTACTTATGATTTCTGGAAAAAATGCCCATTACAGGCAATGAGTTCATTTAATGACTGGTATTTGCTTAATGACCACTGCAAAATCATAAAATTGGGCACTGTCACATGGTAACCTGCTTAACGAGCAGCAAAACCTAGGACCATAATTCCAGGTTAAATTATAATAGATAATAGCTATGTCAATGCTGCTAACATCAGGTGTTATTGCTTTGACAACAGATGGAAATGCATTTATTTTTCTCTTTCACTTTTGGGAAGGGGGATGTGGATGAGAGTCCATTTAGTCATAACAATTTCAAGTCGTGGGAATTCAAGATTATTGAGCCCAGAGTTGATATGGATTGGGCGGGTTGGAGAGCTGTGGAGAGAGCCCACGTTTTCAAGCTAATTGGGGAATGTGATTTATGACTGTTAGTTGGAGGAGGGAATTGTGCTTTGCTACTTTGTGCCAAGGGGAGGAGAGTTCAGTTGTTGGCTTCAATTTTGTAGTGCCTATATTATGCTTCTCGAATAAAAGATTCTTTAAGGTAAACAATGCCTCGAAGTTCTTTTGAGGAGTTTTATCTGCGGAACCATGACAAGCTATCTATGAATATCTTGATTGAAATGGTCCAATTTTAAAAAATAAGCACTATTTATTATAGCACATAAACTATTACATTTCCATATTATTCGTCTTAGAAGCTTGAATTATGACATTATTTTTAAGGATAAATTATATTCTGGAATATAGATATTATAAAAAACAGCCTATATTAATTATAATAGTAACTGAATCTTATGCATAAACATCATTCAGGTCAACAAGACTAACTTTTCCAGCACTGTGCATATGTATATTTAGGACTGAGCTGTATTTTTGGATGTTAATACTTTCTCTCCATGGCTTTTGCCCCACATTATTCCTTGAAATCTTGCATCAGTCCTCACAATCCCTATTGTCATTAAGCAAGGAACACAGATCATGAAGTAAGGTGTTGTGACTTTCTGGTTGCTTCCAACAAACAAAGTCAATGAGGAAATTAGCGTAAGTTATAAGTCCCAGGCACCTCACAAGCAGGCTGATGGGCAGAAAGTGGCTGCTACAGGCCATGTATGGCTACTGCCAGGTGAGACAAGATGCATGGGGGACTGCCATATTTTTATTTCTGTGCGTATGCTGTAGGTACACACTGTTGCTGGGAAAGAAGCACAGGAGTGTGAGCGACTTACAAGAGTAACTTGTGACCTTCTCTGCTGGCTTCCCCATTGACTTTGCTTGTGGGAAGCCAGCAAGGAAGGTTGAAAATGGGGATCTTCTGACCATGAGATATTGCAACTGTCTGTAAGTACAATCCAATTGTCAAATGCCCAGATTGTGATCACATCTGGATACTGGGATGGCTGAAACTTTGAGGACCAGTCATAACTAACAGTTGTTCAGCGTGTTTTAACATTGAACAGTTACTGAATGAATGGTCGTTAACTGAGTTTGTTAAGATACTGTATCTCAATTAAGAAAGAAATCATGAAAACATTTTTCCTGATAATTAAATATTATTTATAATAGTTTATACATATGCTGTACATTTAGCACCTAAGTAAAAATATGATTATGAGAAATATAGCTGCAGAAAGTATTTTGCATCTTTTCAGTCATCTTTTCAAGTGCCCTGGAAGGTAAGCCAGTGAAGTTGCCTCATAGCAAATTTAATCTGTTTACAAAAGCAGTAAAATAAAGTGTTAAGATCTGATAATAGGCTCTCAGCCAGTGCATCTGTATCCAGAATTAGTTCTTGGTTTTAAACCTAAAAGGAAATATTAATTGGATTAACTAACTCTTCATGTGGTTTTCACTTTGCTTCTTTCAATGTGTTTCCTTTGAGTGTTCTAAAATGTTTTTTGGTTTGGTTAACCAGACTTCTGCTGAAAACAGAGTTATACAAATTTTGCAAACAACTCATAAAAACGTTAAAGCAACAGAATAAGCATAAGAACAAAATTAAATCTTGTTTCTGGAAAATATAAGTTTTGTGTTTGCTAATAAAATTCCAAGGTCAACCATTTGAAAGATGTGGCTAACCGCAGAACAAAATTGTTTATTGAGTGAAACTGTCATCTACTGTTGAAAACACCACAGTGTTTGAAGAAAGTTTGTGAGAAAGGGTATTAATAGCTTTTTTCAGGTTTGAAATATAGCTCAGTTTAGCTGGCAGTTTACATTGAAGCAAAACTGATTTTGCCAAGTTGAATATATTTGAATATTGAATATATTTAAAATGTATTTGTTCTAAAACACAATAAAAAGGTGCGATGACTCAGCTGTTAAAGACACTTGTCAGCTGGAAAGCTGACAGTCTGGGTTCAAAACCTGAGCATCATGCAATAGCGTGAACTTTGCTTACCTGCCCCAGTTCCTGCAAACCTAGCAGTTCTAAAGCATGCAAATGTGAGTAGATAAATAGGTACCACTTAGGTGGTAAGATAACAGCATTCCATGTGCCTTGGTGTATAGTCATTCTGGCCACATGACCATGGAAATGTTTTGAGACAATGCTGGCTCTCTCAGCTAAGAAATGGAGATGAGCACTAGAGTCAAATACGACTGGACAGGGGAAACCTTTACCTTTTATTTTTGTAATCTTAATAGCTATACTTTTTAATGTTATTCATTGGTGAAATTGAATAAGAACATTATTTTAAGGGCATGCTTTAAATGCATATAGGTGACCTTTTAGACAAAGGTGTAAGACTAATTTTCTTCATACAGTTGAAATAGGCCAAATCATTTATATCTTTTATCAAAAGCAGCCATTCCTTAAATTGGATCTGGTGATGAATAGTGAATGTATCTTAAATATTTACAACAGTTTTTTTCTAATAGGAATAATGTTGCTATTTCAGCAAACTTTATTTACCCCTCCTAATTTTTCTGTTTGTTTCTTGTACAAGCATAGCCTGCATAAAAAAAACAACACAATGCATTAGAACATTCTGAGTATGTCATATTAGCATTATAATCTGTTGACAAACTATAATTTTGTAACAGATCTGTTCCTGTTCATCTGGTATATCTTGATATTAGAATGGCTCTGCTTGTCTTCTGTTTTTCATATCGTTGCTTAGGGCTTGGTTTTCTCTTCTATTTAATATCTACATGAAGCCACTGGGTGAGGTGATCCAGTGGTTTGGATGAGCAGATCTGGGGTGGATACATCTCCACCCCAGATCTGCTGAGTGATGTCACGGATATCCTGTCACAGTATCTGGAGGCTCTAGGGCCCTAAATGTGGCACAATTGCCTCTGATTCAGTCCAAGCAAGATGGAGTAGTAGCCTTGAGTATTTATTCCTCCTGGGAACAAGGTTCTTCCATAGTGATGGGGTACCATACTGGATGGGGTAGCATTGCCCCAGGAGACCTGGTGGGGTCTTCTTGAACTTATGGTTCCTGCTTGAAGAGCAGGTGGCAACTGTGAGTAGGTGGATGGATTTTGCACCAGTTATGCAAATTCCTGGACTGGTGGACTTTTCTCACAATCACTCATGCTCTTGTTACCTCTCATTTGGATTAAAGTAACATGTTATAGATGAAACTGCTCTTGAAGAGCATTCATAATCTTCAACTAGTGCAAAATGCAGCTGCATGGGTAGCTTAATGGTACAGTTATATGACACATGTAACAAAATTTCTAATAGGAACTGGTATTTTTGAGTGTAGTTCGGAAACCAGGAGGCATATCTTCTTGGCAGCAGAACATTTTTTCTTCGGAGTTCAGGATGGCCTTGACCCTATTAGCCTTTCATAAGACTCTTAAGATTTAGCTATGTGTGCAAGCCTGAGATCCTGAAAGTGTTAAGAGCCTGGGTACCCTAAATTTGACATGAAAAACTTTGTTAAAATATATTGTTTGGAGTCAGGTGTCCTATGATATTTGGAGTGAGCAAATATAAATCATACACCCACATATTTTGATCATATAAACAAATTATATCATATTTACTGATGCTTTATAATACAATCTTAATAAAACATAAAGCTTTGTTGAGCCCATGGCCTATTTTCAGTTCATGGCATTTTTATGACAAAAGAAATGCTGTACATCACATCTCTTGACAGCTGCTAACTCTCACGGGAAAGGATCACCTAGAAATCCTCCTAGTGCATAGGTGTCAAACTCGATCGCATCACATGACATATTGTGACATATCACAATGTTTTTTGCCTTTGTGGAGCCAGGATGAGTGTGGCCTGCGTGTGACACATCTGGCCCGTGGGCCACAGTTTGACACCTCTGTCCTAGTGTATTTAGAAAATTAAAGCAGGGAATCCTGTTCTAAAGACATTTGACTTCTATTATGAAGTATGTTACAATTCAACAAAAATTGGGAAGGCTATAAGTTTCATATGCTTACGAAAACCAGTTTGGTCTAGTGGTTAAGGCACTAGGCTAGAAACCAGGAGACTATGAATTCTAGTCTTATCTTAGACATAGCTAAGAAGACTTTTCCAGTCACTGTCTCACTCAGTGTCAGGCTTGGGTAAAATCTAATTGATCAGTTCCTATGCAATCAATGAATAAATACTTGGTTGATCCTAAAACAGCGGATTTTGCACTTGTGGGAAAATGCGAAGAAGAAGAGGGAAGAAGTTGGTTGGCGTATCCTGTTACAGGAAAATCTGTCGCTCAGTGGAAAGATACTGTTAACAGTTGAGAGAGGAACTAACTGACTTGTTGAAGTCATGATGGAACTACATGAGATGCCCTTTCTATGGGTCTAAATGATGAAACATCATTACTGAATCTCAAGGATAGCTGAGGTTTTAGATTGTAAGAATTGCAAACGTATTGCTCTAGATATGTTTGCTTACTGTAAAGACATATGCTATGGTTGTGTCACTAACTTGCAGGTATATGTTACTGCCAAAGGTGAAGTAGTTATGGGTGGGAATAAGACTGAGAAAGAAGAATTGTTTTGCCTGTTGGAAATACTTTAAGCATAATTACTTGGGCACCAGTAACTATTTGAACAGCTTTTTTTTTCTATTAGGTAAGAGATACTTTTTAATCAGTTTAGTTATCTGTGGAGTATGTACTTTTCAGAATTTTTCAACTATTCAGAATGGGAGAAGTTTTAAAACTAAGTTGCTGAAAATGCTTCATTAATTACAGTATTGGCACCTCGACTTCAGTTTCATGTGTTTGGCAACATTTTGTTTTCACATAGAACAAATCTGACCACCCCTAAGCTATATAGAAGAAGCACAAATTATTAATATGAAATTTTGTTTTTTATACAACAAGAAATATTAAAATACTGGTAAAAAGTCCTGTTTGTCTTGAATTGTAGAACCATTGTACTTCAATTTCTGGTTATTATATGCAATTTTGTTGGCAACTACATAAAAGTGGTTTGCCATAGCCATCTTTTTTTTTAAAAAAAAAAATCTAAGTCTAACATATAGGCCTTCTACACATTTAGTTTTTCCCAAGATGTGTAGAACTTAAGATGTTGTAATATATCAGGATAGTATATTTGCAGATCCAAGCAGTGTAGCCTTTTGCAATTTAGAGATGGAAATTTTGTCAATGAGCAGGTTTTCTAAATGCTGCCAAGTATTTTTTCATATATCATTCAGTATGCCAATAAACATTGAGACCATCCCAGTCATGTTATGCTATAATCATAGCAATGACAAATAGTAAGAGTGATAATAGGTAACCCTGGAAGATGCCTCTCCTAATGTTGACAAGCCCCTATTTTTCATTTCCAGCCACCAATTCTGTTTTCTCCTGCTTTGTTTTTTTTCTATAAATAGTCTAATGTTTTTACTGACACCAGTTGTTTGCAAACATTTGATGATCCAACTAAGTGGTAATGATTCTCATTTGCTTGAGTGAATAAAAATAAATGTAGTTGAACCTGTGATCTCCAATAAATACTTTCTCTTTTCTGGATGAGTGTAAATCAACTTCAAATATTTTAGATGTCATATATGTTTTATTTCTCATATAGCTTACTGTAATTGTTCCACAGAAGCTGAACTATTTTAATAATCTCCAGGTAGTTTCCTGGGGAGAAAAAGTTCTGTTAATTACTTAACTGGGCTTTCAAGTTGGATGAAAGACCATTAAATCCATCTTTAACTTACCCTAATGTAACAACATTTAATTTTGGACTACTAGACTAAGATTCATTTTAAAGGATTTTTACTACAACTTATTGATTCACTTATTGATTCATGTTTCCTTCCACAATTCTTCACCCATTTTTTCTTTTGTTTTTTTTCTTATAATAAATAAGGAGACAAATATATTTTTGAGAATGAAATTCAGTATTTAACTGAAATTGTTTACTACAGTAAAACTTAATTCAAATAGATTTTAAAAACCATAGTAATTGTTAAATAATGTATTCCATAGTCAATAAGAAAAATATATAAAACCTGCCATGTTTAAGTGCTGGATGAGATAACATTTTTCTTGTAAATAAAAATGTTTTGCTTGCTATTATTATATGGATATTACTCTGAATGGACAATTAATATACAGATTTGCTCTTTTCTTTTAATAGACTTGTTTTCAACTGAGGATCAACTGTACATTTCCAGACCAGCTTTCTTTTGATCTAGTTCCATTTGGGGTGGCTGATATGGATTACTTTCATCTAGTAAGGCTTTCTACAAATTCTGAGGATTTTCACTGTATACTGAGTATTTTGTTTAATTCAGTAACTGTATGTCTATAACTTTAGATATCAAAGAACATTATTTACCTTTCCTTTCCTGAATTTGATTACATTTTTACAACCTGTGAAAATAAAAGTATGTCTTCTTAAAAATCTTTTAGGATTCTCTTGCAAAGCAGTATTGAGCCAGATTGGATTGGACCTTCTGTGTGGAAACATCAGTCAAGTACCTACCAATGTATTCTCAAAATTAATTGAATTGTTGAAAGACAATCATCATGGGAGGAGCTGTGAGTGCAGGAGAAGATAATGATGATTTAATTGATAACTTGAAAGAAGCACAATATATTCGCACTGAGCGAGTAGAACAAGCCTTCAGAGCTATTGATCGTGGTGATTACTATCTGGAAGGCTATAGAGACAATGCATATAAAGACTTGGCTTGGAAGCACGGAAATATACATTTATCGGCACCCTGCATTTATTCTGAAGTCATGGAAGCATTAAAGCTTCAGGCTGGATTGTCTTTTCTTAATCTGGGTAGTGGAACCGGATATTTAAGTACAATGGTGGGATTAATATTAGGTAATATTTTAAAAATTATTAAACATTCTTTTATATAGGCTGAATTACTTATATTTTCAGTTTTAAAATAGCATGTTTATGCCCCTGCCAAACTTGCAAGATATTAGCAAGTAGCTTTTCAAATTAGTGTTTCTGATATATAATTGATTAAAATTTCTGAAATTACGAAGAGATCTGTAGCTTTGCAAAGATGAGCAAATGTTTATAGCTTAATTTTTATGTCAGTATTGCCCACTTGTACAAAATAAGAGACCCTTCAATTGTTTTAAAAGTACAGTAATCATGACATTTAAGTTGAGACTTAAATTTATATCTTTATTACATTATTTTGAAAGTGGGAGATAAAGTGAGGAAAATAACATAATTCAATACATGTTCCCTGCTAAATAAAAAAGGAATTTTGAGCTATACCTTCTTGCGATGTTTTAGTGGAAAAGCAGCTTATAATGCTAAGCACTATTCTGAAAATTTCCTGCACTACCACTATCATAAATGAGATTGCCAACATAATCACATAATGGTTTGATTGCAAAGCAAGGTAAAGCACAGTTTTGTGAAACTGTCCAAAGAACTGCAATGGACAATAAACAACTTTCTGCAGTGCACTAAGTTATCTGCAGTCGTTTCTTTTTCTTCTTATAAAAATAGTTGCTATGCCCTGGGATCTTTATTTATTCCTGTGTCAGTATTGCAGCTATATGGTTTGGGACTTATTGGATAACTTTCTCTTTTGTTAATTAATACATACATTCCCACTATCTACTTTGTGCTATGTAGTTGTCAAATAAAGATGTTCTTTAGCATTCACATCAATGTACAGTTTTATAAAAATACATTGATTCAATAATCTTACATGGTTGCTGAATATTAATTTACAGGCCCTTTTGGAATAAATCATGGAATAGAACTTCATCCTGATGTAGTGGAATATGCTAAGGAAAAACTGGAGAGCTTCATAAGATACAGTGATAGCTTTGATAAGTAAGTATATTGATAGCTAATTTTATATTAAAATCTTTTTCCCTGTGGTGATAGTAAAGCATTTAGGAAGACTTGAGAAAACTTGCCATGCTTATTTATTGCAACCACGATTGAAAGTTTGTAACATGATTTTAAAATGTTCAAAATGTAAGACATTCATTCATTTGTTACTGTGGTTGTATTATCAATATTCTGGTCCAGTCTTCAAAAGTGTTGCACATCTTGGTCTCTCATGTTGTTTGGGGAGATCCCGCATTCCTTACCTTAGCCTTTGTCACTCTCTGTATATAGATCTCTATGTAAATATTTCTACTTGTTAAAATTACTGGAATGCTTTCTGAATATTTCTGAACTTCAAATTAAAATTGAGTTGTACAACCTTTTTGGATTTCAGTCAAGGAATATTTTAAATAGCACTTGTATCTCTCCCACTTTTTCATAGCACCTTATGGATCCAAAAACTCTTGACTCTTCATGTAAACTATAAAGAATTACATGATTGAAAAAGTCTAAAATCGGTAAATAAGTAATCTTTTGGCTTTTGTTACAGCTTATAATGAAAGGATTCATGCTATATTTAAATTTTATGTATTATGAAGTATTTAGCACCTTAGCTACTTCACATTTGTATTTTGGCATGTATTTTGAGTATGTATTAATTGCTAGTATCTAATTTAGCATTACAATAATAACTGCTTCTATTTTTATTTAGCAATTTTCAGACTAAATGTTATGTTCTTTGCATAAACGGATTGTAAGTTGTGTCTGCCTCATACCTATTAATTGATTATGTTGAGCATAGAATATAGGCAAATCACAGGCTCTAAAGCACAGATCAGTATATATTGATATTGTTTTTTTGGTTTCAGTTTTTGATGATTGAAATATCTGCTTTAGGCAAAATAGTTACATGCCTCCTTTTCCTGTCTGTCCAGTCCTGTCAAATTGGAATGGTAAATTAGCATTATTTATATTCCCACTGACATTAGCAGGAAGTATTCAGGGTAATTCTGTCAATTTAAACTAATTTGGGGTCAGAAACAAACCCTAAAGTGGTCCGTTAAACTAATAGTTTGGTCACTTAAATATCCCAATATATGCTTGCTTTGAAAAATAAACTTTTTGAGGATTAGTTTTAATGATGATAGTGAGACACTGTTACTGATTTACTTTTTTAAGTATGCAGAGTTCTCATCCTTTCATCTAGGACAAAATTTTGTTAATCTGTTGTAAATACATGCAAATATGGTAAGGTATAAGTATGTTATTAAAAGTTTTTAATATATGTTGTAGCCTTAGGCTAGGTTGCCAAGGTTATATATAAACTTTGTTATCTACAGTAATGCCAACAGGTAGAGCAGGTACCCACACACTTACAAAATTCACTGAAGAACTTTTATGTGCAATAAGAAAAATGAGCCATTAAAACATTGGAAGAATAAAAGCAATTTTTGTGACTTTTCTGGAAATTTGTTTTATTTGCAGAAAAGTTATTATGGTTACCAGTTAAACCAGTTTGCAGGTTTAAATATGGCAAAACATATAAAAATAATTGTTACAGTTCAGGTTCAAATAATTGGACGACAGAACAGGAAGTAATCAACTATAATGGCACTGGAAAACAAAACAAAAGAGAAAGGGGGGAAATGCTTGCTAAACATAGTACACGCATACTGGGAAATATAAGCTAAGTAAGGCAAAACAGCATAATGAATGAAACCTCTTTTTATTTTTATTTATTTGTTAAATTTATATAACTATTTTTGCATGTTTCTACAATTGCATTAAAATACTCTGCTGGAGTAGTTATGGAGTTAGACAAGAATCCACCAATGTTTAATTCTATTACCTTCCTTAGGCCGGGAGCCAATCTATCACGTCCACCTGGGCTGAAGACCGAGTCAAGAATGGGAGGAGCTACCCCAGGACGGACGTGACAAATTAGCTGACCCGGTCTAATTGGCAGGAAGGCAGAGTTAACCCATTGGTGGATTCTACATCTCCAGTGCTGGAGAAGAGCACCTCTCAATTATGTTGCGTTAAAGAATGAGGACTGTTCCTTCCTGGAGAAGGAAGTATTTCATATAATCATATTATAAATATGTTCATGATCTCAAATATCCTATCACTTAAGGAGTACAGCTTTTAAACCCAATGAACCTAGTAGAAAGCATTTCTGAATCTAGCTATTTGTTTAAAATTGTTATTGTTCATAATAAGCAAGTGCCTTATTTAAAATTTTTATGTTCTGCTTTATCTAACTCCTTAGCCATCCCCAGTTTGATTATTTTACAATCTGATAAGTAGCTCATAATGGCTCCTAGTAATTCTTCAGAGACAATAATGGTAGCTTGAAGATTTTTTCTAGGTTTTAAATTTTGGGTGGCTTTTCCCCCCAGTTTCTTGGTTTTGTTTCAGATTTTTAAAGTAATTTATTAACTGTCTTAATTTTTCATTGTTTCCTTGATTATATTTTTTTGCATATGTTTGTACAAAATGTCCTTGGGTTAAAGCTGGGACAAAGAAAAATGAATTATTTTTCCCTCATTTTCTGCAATTTTCTGCCTCCCAATTTGCCTGCTCTGGCATTTCTCACTGTACAGTGAATGGTCATTTTCACTGTACAGTGAATGGTCACTGTACAGTAAAAAGTCATTCTGACTTTTTTGTTTAGATTTCTTCTGTTTTCTTTTTAGTTGGCTTATATTGTCTCCTGCAGGGTTTTGTTACAATTACATTTTTAAATAAATTAAATAATATTAACATTGGGACAGAAAAAGACATGGGTTTGGTGATGAACTTGTTCTTCATAGAAATAATGTTACAGATATCTTTGTTAGTTTAAGTTTTTTTTGTTTATGTGTTGTTTTATACTTTTAATTTTAGACTTACCTTCTCTAGTCTAATCTTGTTTGATTACCCATTTAATATTGATTTGTACTCATATATCTATAAACTTAGCATTTATTGCCTGACAAGCTGGTTTATAATCTATGGTTTATATGAGCACTTTCTTTAAATTTTAATTCTTCATGTATTGAAGTGAAGGATACAGAATTGGAATGAATGGTATGTGAAATACACTTAAGGTATTTAAAATATTAAGTAGATATAAAATTTATGTCATAGTTTTACATGAATCTCTTATTATACAAAGATGAAACATCTTTTTTGTATGAAATTGTTTGGTTGAACATTTCACAGTCAGCGGAAATAGCCAAGTCTTATGGAGTTATGATTTAAGTGAAGCACTAACAATGCAGTGATGTGAGAATATATTGATCCTTGTGGGCATTTTATTATTATTTTGAGTATGTTTGATTTCTGAATATGTGTAAATATATTGAAAAGTTTAGGAAATATTGATTTAGATGTTAATAAATCAATTAAAAGTTAGTATGGCAAATATAATGTTATTAAAATGAATATTGTACTTCATTTGATTTTGCTTTTTGGGAAGCATCTCAGTGTTAATTACAAATAAATGTTGTTTTCAGAGTGGAAAGTTATATAGAACATACAATATATTTGGGGAAATAGATCACCAAAAATTTCATTAACTAAACTAAGATTGTCCCCTGATGATCATGATTTTAATGTACCAGACTTGCAAAAATATCACAAAAGTTATTTTTATCATCCATGAATTTGTTAACTGAAAAATAGTAGAAAATCATCCTCCATGGGCCTTATTGAAAAGTTGTTATTTATTCCCATTATCAGCATAGGAAGTTCTTCTATCAATGTAACAATAGCAATAGCACTTAGACTTATATACAGGTTCATAGTGCTTTACAGCACTCTCTAAATAGTTTACAGAGTCAGCATATTGCCCCCAACAATTTGGGTTCTCATTTTAAAACTTCAGAAGGACAGAAGGCTGAGTCAACTTTGAGTGGGTCAGGATCGAACTTCTGGCAGTGAGCAGAGTCAGCCTGAAACACTGCATTCTAATCACTGTGCTAGTACCATGGTAGTAGAAATAGTAGAAACATACAGTAGAAAAGCTATTTATTTCCAGGAGTGTATGCTGTAAGAAATCTTTGGGGTTTATTGGGATGTAAATAGGATTTTGATTGAGGCTCATGAATTAACTATTTGGGGATTTAATTCCTGAACACTAGAATGTCAATACTGGAAGAAGCTGGACTAGCTAATGGACTCTACAGTTACTTATGGTATAAAGGATATAAAAGAAGACAATACTTAAAAGGACACATAAGACAAAACTTGATAAAATTATGGAACATTACAAAAAAAACCAGAAATAACAATTTCACTTTGTTAGCCTTTGCTAACAACAATTTCACTGTTAGCCTTTGCTCTAAATCTGGCATGTCAAACTCGCAATGTCACATGACGTCTTGTGACGTCTCGCGACTTTTTCCCCATTGTTAGCAATGGGGTGGGCGGGGTTTCGGCGTGACGCATCCGGCCTGTAGGCCAGCAGTTTGACATGCCTGCTCTAAATGCTTTTCATATTGGAGATAAAGTAAAAACAAGTGTAATTTATAAATTACATTTATAAATCTAGTCCACTCATGGGCAGGGAAAAAACCAAGAGTAAAACTTAAAATTATGCAGGATATTCGTGAGAGAGGTGGACTCAAGGTATCGAATTTGAAATTGTATTATGATGCTGTGGTTTTAACATTAATAAGTGATTGGGTTAATTTAACAAATGTAGAAATACTCCTCTTGGAGGGTTGGGATTTACTTTTTGGATGGCATGCCTATTTAATTTTTAATAAAAAGGTTGACAGGGTTTTTAAATCTCATATTATAAGGATTTCCTTACTTCGGGTTTGGAGGAAATATTATAGAAGTGATTTTAAAATTCCACTGTGGGCCATACCGGGGCATGCGATAGAAGGGATAAGGAGAGGAGTCAAGATGGATAGTGTTTTTTATGCACAACTACTTAGATGGGATGGTAAAAATTGGCAATTAAAATCCTTGGAAGATTTAATACAAGAAAATATTATTTATTCATGGTTTCA